GATCCATGCCAGTGAGAATAAGGCCCTATATTTACAATGTCGCAAGATCTGTATAACCTTTGCTCCAGATAACTAACAGATGCTTAATTCTCCGAAGAGGTTAATATAAAATTTGTTTATTTTTCGTCTTTTGAAGAGTCATGTAAACCTCGGAACCTCGTCAAAACGAAAATATTGACGGCTAATTGGTTGAATAATAACAAATTGTAGCCATTATTTTTCGTTCATAAGTAGGGTGAATACATCTCATGTAAATAGTAGTCAGTTTAAACTTTCGTGATTGACGATGCTAACTAAAACTCTACTATTTGGCAAGCCTGATCTCCGTGGTTCCAAGAGAGTCTATAATGGCAGTATGTAATGCTCGATTAGACACGCGAATTGTAACTAAGCTATGAAGAGATTTGCAGGTAAATCCCACCAGCAGACTTGGGCAATTAAGTTGACTCAACTCTCGAGACACCCTCTTCTGGGGAAAATGCACTGAGCTTGATTCTGTCTTGAGAATAAAGTCCAGTTTAGATGAGCTCTATGAGAAGATAAATAAAGTACAGCCCTTCATCACTTAATTTTACACAAAGATAAGGTAAGCTCAGCATTGTTATATGAGGAAAAGCATCAAAAACTAAAAGGCTTAGACTTAAAGTTATCATCTATTGGGAGAGATTTAACAAATTGAAGCTGGTCTCAACCTAAATTTGCCAGTTCTTCTGACCATCGTGAGTCTTTTCCCTATGACGACCCATATTTTCTTACCTTAATTTCCTTTTCCAATATCATCTCCGGGTTTAGCAAAAATTTACGAGGTATTTATAAGGTGCCTAGATTTTACTAGTAGAATCTGGGAATCCGGAAAGGTATTACTTGCCATACCATTCTTCATTATCCCTTAACAATCATTTTTTCACTTCATTACTTCATTAGCAACCCAGAATGTTCGATTAATATAACAAGACACTTTGGATAACTACTTTGGGATTTTATTATAATGTTTGCTCAGCTATTTTATTGGACGTATGGTGAGAAAATATTTATCCTAAATCACTGCTTAACGCGTAACCATGGTTACTTAGCGTCTCTTTAGGCAGCTTAAGTTAAAGAAGGACCGATAGTGGATTTTTCCACGAGATTATGGCATTGCATTTCACCTAGCCCTGCCTCTTGAAAGGTATTTTCTTCGAAGAATTGACTGCAATTTCCACCTCTCCTGGGTCCTTCCAGCACCTTCAACGGGACTTGAAATGCATAATGTTACGCCACAGTGCTATGAGTCTCCATCAATCACAGGTCGGATGCGCATTTCTAGGCAAGCCAGCCCTCATTCATATCATATTTTATAGAAAGATTGTCGCCGAAGCAAGCATGTATTTGACATCGCAGGAAACAAGGTGAACTGTAATACAATGTAGATATAAAGAATAACTGGATTTCTATGAATCTCTTAACGTAACATCGTTGAAAAGACTTGCAATTCATATAAAAGTAAATGCTAAAGAGCTTCGTAGGTCGATATCACTAGAAGACAACGGTGGATGTTGGTTTTTCTGTAGCCGTTTGGCGTTAATACGATGTTCATTTTTACGCAGTCCACGTGACATTTTACCTAGTTTCGGGTGAAAACGGGCTGAGCTTCCGTTTATCATATGACGAGCATCTTCAGAATTAGAATTCATACTTGTAAAAATCTCGAGTTAGCATTAGGTCAAAGACATATAGGATCAGGTCGCTTAGTCTTTTTGACATAATGCTAACTTGAGACTTCTACACGAATGAGTTCCAGCTCTGATAATGTCCATCATGTGATGGACGAAATCTTAGCCCGATTTTATCCGAAACTAGAGAGGATGACTCGTGGACTGCGTCAGCATGAACGACGCATTCAAGCAAAATGGCTGCAGAACAACTCAAATCTGCCGTCGTTTTCAGGTGAGACCAACCAACGAATTTCTTCATCATACACTTCTATACCAAATGGCATAGTAATGGAGGTCTCTGGCGTCCTCCGTTTGTGGGAAAATTCAGCTCAGTCCTTCATCACCAGGTCTGCTCAAGTCCTACACAAAAAACGAATATACCATTTACGTCCTGACCCTTAATGAAGCCCTCTTTATAGCTTGCCTTACCATTGTAAAGTGCTTTCTCCATGAGTTTTCCATTAATCCACTATTTGGCAAAACTTTCGAGTTGGCTAGGCCACAGTCAAAATTTTCTCAAATAACTAGTAAAAATCCGAAACATTCTGTTTATTTTTTCATTCAAAATAGCATGTCATAACTTATCCCCAGTTCCCCCTTTCTAGAGCTTGTTAACGACTTGGTTTGCTCAGCTGGAAAGAAGGCTAGTAGGATTTCGAGAGCTCCCAGTGTCATATTTTGGGCCATAATGGCCTTCATTATCCAACATGGCGGTACTGTTAATCAAATATGTGTGTGGGTGTGCATGTGTGAACGAAAAGAATAGAGGTTCTTGTATTGTCAAATGTTTAGGTTTCCCACAGCCACCTCTAACCCGGAACTCGGCCTTCATGTAAAGTTTCAATAAATGCCTTTTGTGCAAGACATGACAAGTATTTCAAACAAGTGGGAGCGATAGAGGAAACATTTAAGAGTCCCGACTGCATTGCCTAAAGGTTGGAGGGAAAGTTGGTAGGAGATAATTCGTGTTGTGATCTCACCTGAAAGCAAAATAGGATTGCCGCCTACAGAAGACTGTCGAATTGTTCGAAGAAGTCCTCGGATCACCGTCTTCGAAACCCAGTTTTTCTTCATATCCTCGATTAACCAACGTTACCCTTTCCACTTTCCAAGACAGCAATAGCACAAGTTAGTCGGTCATTCCTTTCATGCTAAACCATGTGAACCGACACTTTTTTTCTCGTTCGTCAATTTTATAACTTTGTTGGCCTCAGGCATCCCATAGGTTCGTCCTTGCTTTTTTCCGGAAAGTCTTTAACTTTCAAGTACCCTAAACTTGAGTGAAACAAAACGAGGGCTCGCGCGAATCATATCAAAGTGGGTCTGTGCTGTATGGTCTATCTCCAAGGCCATGGGTCGAGTCGGCTAGACAAAGTCGAAGGCTCTCTTTGGCTCAGCGGACGACAGTACAAGGCGGTTTTTTGCACCACTTTTCCCTCAGCACACTACAGCATCTTCGCTGATCGCCCCCAACAACTCCGCGCTCCATCCCGCCCCATCTTCTATCCTCAACCTTCGTTCAATTGCCCCTACTTCAGTAGACATGGCAATTGTTCACGTTAGTCCTGTTTATTTAGAACCGGATATCAATTAGAGATGTCCAAATCGGACAGAGGACGTCGTTATTACGGCTGCCGCAGGTTTGACTGATCACTTCACTAGTTGTCCTTTTTCGCAGATCTTTCATCTACTCCGTCCTGTCCGCTTCGTGCTCTACTTTAATCTACATTTATACATACACATCCTCTCTTTTATTCGTCCTCTTCAACTCCGATATATGCAGTCTCTATGACCACGCAGCGTTCGGCATTTTGACAGCTCCTTCTGCCTACCAATTGTATTACCGTTTGTCGCTATTGTCTTTCCTCCTAAACACTCGTCCTTAATCTTCTCTCCTCCTCCTTCCTGCTCCTCCCTATCGGGGTCCAAATCCCCCAGCGACTCATCTCGCCCATGGTCTGGTCTTTGTCTCTTGAACCTCTGACTATGCCCATGGCGGTATATTTGCACCAAGCCTGCTATCCGGACTCAAAACGCTTCTCACTTAGGCCCGAATCTCCCTACCGCCTCATCCCTCGGCCTCCACTAGTCGGATTTCTTACCATTTACTTTCACTGTCGCTTTGTGCCTTTGTGTATACCTTTCTCTCACGGTCCCGCCAACCTCGTCAAACGTTGGGATGTGATGGAGCCAAGTAGCAATTGACCTAATGTATGCGTGATGGAGGTACCGAAACCTCACGCCGATTTCTCAATGCGATTTGGACAGCTGCCGCCGGACGAGCA